ATCATTTTATTAGGGGCTCATACAACTCTTATCACAATCCATACACACATCAATTGTGTAAAGCGCATTTGTACATTCATTGCCCTCATCATTCTGAAAACATTTGTTCTCCACTTAAGCCCCCGGCATTAGGTCCTCATTTTCCCCTCCCTCCCCGCTGCTCCCTCCCTCATGAGCCCTTGATAGTTTATAAATTATTATTTTGTCATATCTTGCCCTGTCCGAAGTCTCCCTTCACCCACTTTTCTGTTGTCTGTCCCCCAGGGAGGAGGTCACATATAGTTCCTTGTAATCGATTCCCCCTTTCCAACCCACCCTCCCAGTATCGCCATTCTAAGCACTGGTTCTGAAGGTTTCATCTGTCCTGGATTCCCTGTGTTTCCAGTTCCTATCTGTACCAGTGTACATCCTCTGGTCTAGCCAGACTTGCAAAGTAGAATTCGAGTCATGGTAGTGGGAGTGGGGAGAAAACATTTAGGAACTAGAGGAAAGTTGTATTTTTCATCGTTGCTACATCGCACCCTGACTGGCTGTCTCCTCCCCGAGACTCCTGAGACTGTAACTCTTCATGGAAGTAGAAAGCCCTGTGTTTGTCCTGAGGAGTGGCAGTTTTGAACTGCTGGGTTATCTAACTTGTTGGAATATGGCTAGCTGTTCATACAGTGCTTACAAGTTCTTCACATTTCTGTAGGGTCAGTCGTAACGTTCTCATTCTCAGTTACTGATTTCAGTAATTTGTGTCCTCTCTCATTTGCTTTTTCCTTGTTTGTCAATTTTATGTATTGACTTAAAAGAAGAAGAAAAAAACTCCTGGTTTTGTGAATTCTGTTATTTAAGAGTTCTCTATTTTGTGATAGCCTCGCTAATCTTTATTATGTCCTATTGTTAAGAGAAACGTGAGCTTTGGATCACAAGTAACAGACACCTGTAATCAGAAACAGCTTAATTTAAAGCAACACGGAGAGACCGGCAATCTTGGAATCCTGCACAGCTCACTGGCTAGCGGCTACCCTCCCTGCCCACCTTGTCATTCTTCTCTCACGCCGCACGCTGTCTCCTTTGGTACTAGTCCCACGTGTTGGCACCTAGCTGCCCACATCTCCTGGGCTTTCTTCTTCATTTAAGATCCAAGCCGACTAAGCTGTGATTTTGTAGCCTGCTGCCAAA